TTGTTTCTTTCAACATATTAAATGTATCACTCCATTGTCTTCTCTCAATATGTAAATATATATATATTTAGAGATATTTATGTAAATATAAATGTTTACATAAATTTTATAATGTTTAATAATGTAAGATTACATTTTATAAATATAAATAAATCTCTAAGTATATATATATTTCTCTGCATATATAGAAAAAAGTCAATAAATGTTTCTAAAATATATAGAGAGAAATGTATATATTTCTCTATATATAAGACAGGGTCCTTCTCTGTCACCCAGGCTGGAGTGCAGTGGTATGATCATGGCTCACCTTGACCTCCCAGGCTCAAGCAATCCTCCCTAACTCAGCCTCCCAAGTAGCTGGGACCGCAGGTGTGTGCCACTGCTACCAGCTAAATTTTTGTAGAGAAAAGGTCTCCCTATGTTGCTCAGGCTGGTGTCAAACTCCTGGGCTCAAGCCATCCTCCAATCTCAGCCTCCCAAAGTGCTGGGATTAGTCAAGTAATTTACAGATGAGTTTGGTCTTTTCAAAGTTTGTTTTTAAGTTTTTTTTTAGGGTGGGTCTAGTGCTGCTTTAACTGTAGGACTAACTGAGTCCTACTATTAAAGTGGCTTCACTGATTTCCCCAGGTGTTAAAAGATATCTTGCCATTCAACCTGGATGAAATTCAAACCTCTCCTAGCCCTATGTAATCTCTGGGAATTGTTCAGTCTACAGTTCCTTGGTGGTGCATATGCAGTTTAGTATTCATCAGCAGACCTCAAGGGGACTTCTCTCCCAATTTCTGGAGTGCATTCTCTATGTAACTTCCTCCTCTTCCTTACTTTTCCCTGAAAATTATAGCCATCTCCACCTCCCTGAACTTTAGTGTTTGTCTTCTCAACTCATTGAGACCACTGCATTCTACTTGATTCCTTTCCCCTGTGCTGTGTCCTGGAAATTACCTACAGGTAGAAAGCAGGGACGACTTGGGGGTTTGCACCATCAATTTTCTTCCCTCTTGGACTATTTGCTACACTACGTAGTGCTCAACGAATGAAACCATCTCTTTCATACATTTTGTTTAGTTTTATAGTTAATCACAACAAGAAGCAAAATCCAGTACTAGTTATTACAATGTGACCAGAAACAAAAGTGATCCTGGGATGTTATATTTATATACTAACACAAAAAAAGACAAGAGCTTAGATTTTAATCCTCATGGACTGGGAGCTGTCTTGCATAAACCAGCAAATAATTTTTCTATGGCATATTATGACCTCCTTAAAATATTTTGGTGTTCCCATACCATAATACTATAATCTAGAAAATCTCCCCAGAGATGATACATATTGGAAAGATTATTATTTATGGTCCTCTTAAGATATCCCATTAACTTCCAAGTTGTGACCTTCTACCTACACACTAAACACTCCAACATTTTAATTTCTGGTTCAGACAGCTTTATTGGGCCTTGATCCCATCCCATTACCTACTAGACGTCTCCTTCCGGCTCTCCAGTTTCAACAGACCTAGTTATTTCCTTTCCATCAATCACACCACTATCTCTTCCGCAACCGGATTTTCCTTCTCTATTCAAAGTCACATCTTAAACCAGATGCTTAAAAAAATCATCCTATATTATTCCTTTTCAGCTAGACTTCACATGCAAAGTAGTCACCAAGCCTTATTATTTCTCTCTTCCAGCTGTTGCTCACATGTCTTCCCCAATTCTATAATTTAGGTTTCTAGTATTTTTTGCATGGACTAGTACAATACTATCGTAGTTGTTCTTCTCTGCACATTGCCTTAATTCCTTCTGGCCTATCTTCTGTATTTCCATTCAAAAGATATTCTAAGATGCAATTTGGTATTTATCCCTATTAAAATCCCTTTAATAAAGTCATATCATTTATGAGATAAATGTAAAGTTTCATGACAATAAATTTTGTTCATGACCTGGTATCTCCTTCTCATCTTTTCCCTTTTTATTTTATTCTCCAATTTTACAAAAATATTCTTTTAGTGAGTCTTTGAGAAGCTCCGTTTCCACTTGGTAACAAATCCCTCTTATATTTTAAAAACACATTGCAAATGTTGTTTCCCATAGGAAATGTTCTGTGGCCCCCAAATCCTTTTGCAGAGATATAATTACCCCTCTATTTTGTAAATACTTCTATTGATTTACTTATTACATTGCATTATAATTTGTTTATATGTCTTGTCTTTACCATATTTCGTGCCTTTGAAGACATAGATTCCTAGTCATCTTTGAATCTCCCATGCCTATCACAGGGACTCAAATCTAGTATCGACATCAAAAATGTGAATCTGGAAAACTTTATGCAGCCCAAACACGGTACATCCTTTCCTTTCTTCTGTAAAGCCACAGGGTTCCTCACTATCCTATTTCAGGATAAGGGGATAGGCAGAATTAGAAAAAGGAAGTTCTGGCAGGCTTCAGAAATTGCCTAATTTAAGGTTTTTTCTACTTGCAGTCCACAAGGAAGACAGTCCTGTTCTCTTCCTTGCTGACTAATTTGTGCTAATGTATAATTTTTAAAGGCTAAAAATATGATTTTATGCAAATATGAAATGAACTTATTAAAGATATTCTTTAACTCACCAGCTAATGAGGGAATCAGTTCATAGAAGGGCCTGAAGAACAGACATATATACAAGAAGGAATGTTGAAATAAATTTCCTAATGATATAAATAGGTAATATCTTTATAGGACAGTAAAATGTAATGTTTGAGAGTATGTCTTCTATCTGGCACAAATCAATTTTATCTCTAAGAGGTAAGATTTATTTGCATTGATACAGAAAGAACCTTTCATGTAACTGTCAGTTCTCTACTATTTCTACCCTTGCAGATTTATAAACTAGTCTACCCAATAAAAAGTCAAAGATGCATACCCTCATAAAATTAGTTACTCCAGAATATTAGCTAGACAATGTGCAGCCCTCAATTGTAAAGGCATCTGTAATTTCCAAGTCTTGGACATTTTCTTTCCTGGCATCAACAAAATAATACTCCTCCATTTCCCAGAGAAAAAGTGATATTCCCCAGATGGGACACACACACAACTCTTAAGACATTTTGAAGACTTTTAATTGAAAAGTAAAAATGCAAAGCTTTGTAGAGTGAAATGCCAGAAGTTTTAGCTTTAACTTTTTCGACTTTATAAATCTAAAAGGCACAAGCTAGTGGTAACACAGAGTTTGGTGTCAGGCTTCCTGACCGTGCATCACAGCTCCAAGGCTACCTGACCTAGAGCGAAGTAAAAACTCTTGATGCTTTAGTTCTCTCATCTGAAAAGTGAGAATGACAGTACTTACCTCATGTTTGTAATCAGGATTAAATGAGCTATTTTCATTTTATATTTTGTGTGTATACAGCACTTGGAACAGTGCCTGGCACATGGTTAACATTATAACAATTCGTTCAACAAAATTCGAAAGTATAACACGGATAGAACAAAAGGAAGAAAGGTTCACATTTAAGTCTTTGAAGGCATCTTCATGAACATTCATGATAGTGACTCGACTTTTATTCCTGTTCAGCCATCATTTAAGAGAAATGCCTCCCTCCTGAATTACCTAAGGCCAGAGACAATTCACCCAGATACCATTCAATTTTCTTTTGATGCTGATTCTGTAGGGAATTTTCTTCTTTTGAGTGAAATCCAGCATTTAGTAACCTGTGGGGAATAACGTTTCTTCTAGTGGTGAATTGATTCTACTCCTTGCAAAGACAACTCTAATAATACTGAAGGAGCACACACTTGAGTTAAGAATGGATCTGAGCACAGCGGCTCATGCCTGTAATCCCAGCTCTTTGGGAGGCCTAGGTTGGGGGTATCACTTGAGGTCAGAAGTTCGAGAGCAGCCTGGCCAACATGGTGAAACCCCCGTCTCTACTAAAATTACAAAAATTAGTTTGGCGTGGTGGCTGGCGCTTGTAATCCCAGCTAATTGGGAGACTGAGGTGGGAGAAACTCTTGAACCCAGGAGGCGGTGGTTGCAATGAGCCGAGATTGCGCCACTGTACTCCAGCCTGGGCAGCAGAGTGAGACTCCGTTTCAAAAAAAGAAAAAAAAAAAAAAAGATCTGAGACACGAGGGACAAAGAGCTCTATCTGCCTCTAGGTACTTTCTGAGCCTCATATTTCCCCTGATTTCTCAGCTCGTTCCACTAGCCAAAAATGATCATCCAACTTGAAATGAACTTGGTCATTTCTGCAAACTTAAGTACATCAATCAGCAATGATTTACCAATAAATTGAAAACTAAAAGGATTCCACAAACCCCTAATCTATAAGTGAGAGCTCTACAATGTATACAACCCAGAAGATAGGGGAACTATGTGTCAGGGTAGTAGATAAAATGGATACAGGACAGGCCAAATTGCCAGAATGATGTGCTCACCATGCATTGTGTGGTTTTTCACAATAAACCTATGAGGTGGGTACCTCCTAATTCTACTTCCTCCGAAATTTAAGGAAGTTTAGATTTAATGCTTGTCAAGGTCACACAGCAATTACACTGTGATACTTGACTATGGATTTTACCAGAATGGGTAATTCCCACTTCCTCCCTTCTCTCCAGTCTTGTGGCCATACTCTATGAGTACTCCTTGGGGTCATGTGTAGCCTAGAGAATGCTTTCTTGCCTTGAGACCAAGGACACAGGTGGTGCTACCCAAGTGACCAAAAGAAATCTAAGCTTTTTTTTCTACTTGCCATATTTCTATTCATCCCTTGATACAGTCAGAGAGACTTGTTTTTATTTAGGAGTAGGTTCAGAGTTATTTTCAAAATACACATTCTGTTTCTCAAGAAAAATATATTAAAAACCAACTGATTGTTTTTCAATTGTTTTATTTGAGCCAAAATATATATACTTAATTTTAGTTATACCAAAAGTAATTATAATTTCTCAGTCCAAGGATGTTAGGAACCGACTTACAGAGCATGCTCCAAAAAGAATTCTCTTGGCCTTTGAAGGTATCTATTTTCAAACTTAACAGTAGAGTCAAGCAAGAATTGACAATTAGAGTTTTCAAAATTGAAAAATATTATACATTATATAATCATTATCTATCGTTTACAGATTTTATTTTTATGATACATATCTCTATATAGTGGTACACTGAGGACATAGCAAATATGCAATAAATACTTATTAAACTGAAGTGAACTAACAAAAACCATTAATTACACTCTTTCTAACAACCAAACCAGCTATTGCCTTTCAGTGTTTTGGTGATACGTTGGAGTAGGAAGTCATATTCGAATTGATTAGATCCTTGGAAGAAATAGTAGTATTCTGAAAATGAAAACAAATTAAATAGTTTAATTCCCTCCCTGTATTTCTTTACAACAACAACAACACAAATCTGTTTTCATAGATTATCTAGAATAGATGACCTATGGGCTGTGGTTCATGTCCTGTATTGCATACTTTGAGAGGCTGAGATGGGAAGATTGCTTGAGGTCAGGAGTTTGAGATCAGCCTGGCCAACATCACAAGACCCCATCTCTATTTTTTAATCAAAAAATAACAAATGAAAAAAAGATGAGATGTGATTCAAGAATATAAATGTTGGGGACCCTTGGTATCATGCTCCCCAAACATCTACCTACAGCCAGTCATACTCCAAGTGGAGGACTCATGAGACAGGATATCAGACCCAGCTAGGGCACACAGGGGCTTTGATGGAAGAAACAACACTGGGGAGGGGAGGGAATAAAAACAAAAAATATTGGTCCCTTGAATAGTTGCTTAGGCTGGTCTTGTTTGAAGACATACAACACAAACTCAAGCTTTTCTCAATCCACCCTCAGTCCCCAGTCCATGAGGGCCTATGAGGGCAGAAGGGACTACAGTAAAGGTCAAGAGTGCAAGGTGTAGGAAAGGGTGAGACTCCAGACTGCCTGAGTCTTGGCTGCCATGTGCTCCCTTGCACATACTGTGTGGCTGATGTGGTCAAAGGAAATTCCAGAGACTCAGGTACATGGGAAATAGGAACAATCACATTCCCGCTGCCTGCCAGATAACCCTGGGAATACACCACTTGTGCCACCAGCCCCTGCTCATTCTAGCTTTCCTATTCAGAGCCATGTACAGTGTGAGTTTTTCCTTGTGGCCCTGTGGGGAACTGCAGAGACCTGTCCCTTTCCAATTTGGAGCCCTATTCTCTAATCTCAGAGGATTTATAGTTTTGAAATGGAATTTCCAGTATCTTCATGGTTTCCTCATCTACTTACTATTTTTAGAGTAGAAGACTGCATCAATTTTAGGCCCAATTCCTCGGAAGTTCTTGGTAATCAGTTTGGGATAACCAGGGTCCATCATCTGTCTCCTTTCATCATACCTGAGCAAGGAAGAAACCAGCAGGAACTCAGTCAGAAAGTGGTTTTCCTGACATGCACCACAAACCTACCTTCTCTACGGAAGAGCTCTTCCCCAAAGGGCTTAAGTTGTTCTGATGAAGAAAACCGAGGACCTAAACAGCTCACTGATTTCCTCTGAGTCCCTATAGGACTCAAACCTATGCTTCCTGACTCTGGTTAAGTCTTTTTCCCACTATCCCATAATACTTCCACTAGTGCTTGTTCCTGCTTTATAGTCTGGCAAAGAAGGTGATTTGGCTACAGCATAGGCCCCAGTGACCAATTTTTCAGTTGCCTGTCATTGCCTTCTTTTCAAAGCTATTCACTGAGACAAAAATACCCATTTCCCCCCAAGAAGATAATAAACAGGTCAAGGGGCTAAGAGCCAGGGAACCAAAGGGATTTATACACCCATGTTTGAGAGAAATTGAAAGTAAACCCTTTTGTTTACAGGCTGTATGGTCATATCCTAGTTTCTCTCTTAAATTCTCTTTTACCAGCAAGGGAAAAGAGTTTTGTGTCTCTCTAGACTTCCAAGTGGCAACTGAATCTAACCGTTGTCTTGTTTTTATTCAGTTTGGTTCTCTAAGTATTTATGGCTTGCTTAGCACTTTCTCATTGGCATTTAAGGGAAAAATCGTGGGCCAAGTAGAAGTAGAAAACTAAACACAACCACTGTTCAGAGGTGAAATGTCAATGTTCATAATAACAGGCTACAGCAAACTACGCCCATTTATGAGCTCTTTGGAAAGTGTTATTCGCCAAAATCAAGTTTTGTTTCTCAAACAGGGCTAAGGGCTGGTGGACAAATTCAAGTCATAAGCACCCGGTATTCAATTGGAATTAGATGTTGAGTTTTAAATGTTTAAGAATAAATAATAGTTGTAAATGTAAGCTTAACATATATGTTATGTCTCATGTCAACCAGGTAAGCAATCTAGGAAGTGACTGGCTTACCCAGAAGAAGGAATAGAGAATCCTCTCCTCCTTCAAAATTTAGACACTTGAGACAACAGAGACAGACACTCAAATGAGCTCCTATCCTCACTTGACCATATGACTTTCTTTTAAGGAAGACTTTGCAGGACCTCCTGACCTCCTGTCATTTAGAGGATGGTTTCTCGTTTTGTCTTTTGAATCTGGTGATTATAGAAAGGAATCTGGAAATCCATGATCCTCCAAACTGACTGTAGATTAAATACTTGGTCTTGTACATCTATGACACTCTTTTCCAATGTGTTTCCACTATGATTAATAAGATGACATTTTTTAAAGTTTTTTTTTTTTAAAAAAACACATTATTTACTATTTCATATATTAGAAACCAAAAACACAAAGAACTTGGTTGACAATAACTATTTCAGTCCTATATTCTTTTCATCTCTCTCCCTGGAAGGTCAAGGAGTTTTGGGAACTTGCACAGAGAACGTGCCTTCTAGAAAACCTCATTCCATGCCTGTTTCACAATCTGAGGGGTGAAATGACCAACCGTTAAAACTCACCTCCAATATTGGTTATCTACGAAGAAGTAGGTCCTATAAAAATGTGGGTTAAAAACAGCGGCATCAATTTTTTTCACAAAGTCAGGAAAACCAAAAGAATGTATGCTCTTGGGATAATCTGGCTGTGGTCTTAAGTTGCTAATTAACCAGTATTTGTCATCTGTGAAGACAAAGAAATAGGGTAAATTTGAATTATACAGAAAGAGTAATAAGAAAATGCTGATTTACTATAAACAACATAATTCCTTTCCCACAGTTATAAAATGTATTGCTTATTGATCTTAAACATAGTCTCTTTTCTTTGGTTCCTATGGATTTTTTTTTTCACAAGTATTACTATTTTATAGTTTACAAACTTTTCCCAGAAATTGTATGTATTACTTAGGTATTTAGGCTATTTTAGTTTACAGTTCAGAGCCACTATTAATAAAATCAAGAGTGCTTTCTTAGCCTATGTCTATTAAAAAGTATTAGTCTCCTCTTAATTTATTCTCTTCCTTGACGTAAACTCAATGGCAAAACTAAAAAAGATTAGAAATACCTTTAAAAAGAAAAACTTGATTTCTGGCTTCAATTTCATAAGCGGCTTCAATGCCAAATGGCAAGGTTGGCCATAAGGAAGAAATTAAATCAACACTGGTCCTTGGTCTCTCAGAAAGCTTCAGCAAGAAGAACCTGACATGAAAGACATTTAACACATTATAAAACAATGTAGACTCAAGAACCATGGCATGTGAATAGGAAGAACCTGTGAAAAAACCCAATGTTTCTTTCCATTGTCTTCACATTCTGTTCCATGGATGTCTGATGTTCATGGGTCCATAAGAAAAGAATATCAATCAACTCTTTGATAATAACAATCACTGTAACAAGCAATCTGATATACAGAAATACCCTGGAGCTTGGAATCCAGGGATCTAAGCTTCTAGTTTGACCCTACAATCCACTCACCAGTTTTGTAACCTCAAGGAAGTCACCTATCCTCAAGTGTCTCAGTCTTATAATCTCAAAAATGGGAAATATTTGTACTACTTGACAAATGTTAGTCTTCCCAACTGCCCCTCCTTACCACCAATACCTGCTTCACTCTGTGTTCTAAGAAAGAAACGAAAAGTTATCCTGGAATTCTCTTCTCCATAATCAGGAAATCAAGTTTCTTGCATAGGTACTGTTTTACAGTCTTAGTTTCAGACTTCATCATTTTTATCTATAATTAAAATAGTCTGGCTTCTGTTTCCTGTCTTCTAATTCCCCATCCCAGATTCCTACTGCAAATCCTTTTTTACACACCAGTTTTCTAGTTAAAACGCAAATGTGATTACACCTGTCTCCTGCTTGAAAACCCTTAAGATCTCCTCACTGCCTACAGAATTGAGTCCAAGTTCCTGCTTACAAGTTTCATCTACTTCATTTTCAATTATTTCCCACTTTTCTCTGACAAAAAAATTTAAAGGCAGAAACTTTAATATTGGTTAGATATGAAAATGATCCTACCTGTCTTTGAAGAAAAAGATCTTATCTCCCACTGTAGTGACAGCATCAAAACTCAAATTGGGGTCACAGAGAGCTGGTTCTAAATTGTCAGGCTGTGGCATGGGTTGGTACTCTTTTGGGCCTCCTGAAAATACATTTCAAGAAGCATCAGTAAACAAAATCTGCATTTTATTTCAGAGGAGGAACTGTTATTTTTTAAATACTCAATTTTCTTAATGAACATTGCATCAAAATCATTTTAAGCTTTCTATAACATTCACAGGAAGCATAAAGTAAGGTGTTTTTTCCCATATGATGGCAATATCATGGAGGAAGAAAATCTGATTATCTTTACTTTCCTTTTCCAGTTATAATGGATTATTTAATGTGTGGGCCTTCATCAATAAGGCAGTGGTATCTTGGATAGAAAGAACACGAGACTTGAGGCCTCTGGTTCTGCCTCTGGCTCTGACATTAACCTACTAGGTCTCTTGTCTTCATCTGTATAATGAAGTTAATACCTGTGTCACCTGCCAGAGAGGGTTCTTATGGAGCTCAAAAAAAGACAGATATTAACATTTTATCCAAATATAGTATTGTTAGACTATTCATAAGAGTGAGTATCTTATTTGGCAAAATAAGAAATTAAACTCACCATAGAGGGACTGAATGCCACGTATGTCATCAGCAGAGAGATGAAATGTGTTGATGTCAACATATTTGTAGGTGGGGAACATTATGGCCTTTGGATCACTGGAATGGCCAAGACCTAAGGAATGGCCAAGCTCGTGAACAGCAACGAGGAACAAGTTTGTGCCTAAGAAGAAACCAATCAAAAGACAGAACACTGTGAAATGCATTATCATCTTGGACAGTAACACGATATCTGACACAGTGAAAAAGAAACATTTGAGAATCTTTTACTTATTTCTCTACCCTTTTGAATAAGGTTTCTCAACCTCAGCACTACTGACATTATAGGCCAGTAGTCTGGGCTGTCCTATGCATTATGGATGCTTAGAAATCTCGGGTTTTACCCCTAAATGCAAGCAGAAAATCCTTTTTAGTTTTGACAACCAAAAAATGTCTTCAGACATTGTCAAATATCTCCTTGGGGACAAAATTGCCTTGGGTTAAGGACCTCTGTACTAGTAGACAAATGAAATATATTCTGTTGTAAAAATTCCTAAAATAACTCAGAGCTGCCTCCAACAGTTTTCATTGCTTCTAAATAATTCTCAACTCTCATGACTCAATTCTGGTTTTAGTCTTCATGAAGCTTCACTGGATATAGAAAAAAATGTCTTTAGCAATCATCTTTTCGTAAACCCAAATATAAGGCTATCATTAAGTTTCAGGTGCTGTGAGTCACTGAGAAGTGTAATACATTATGTCTAATTCTCATACAACTGAAAGGAAACCACCATGCTCTCCACTACAGATGAGGAAACAGTATCTATAGGAGTAATCAAATTAAGTGCTTGAACCAAGATTAGTGTTTATGCTTTTACTACACATGATTCTAAATAAAATTAAAGAATCTATATGACTCAAGGAAAAAATGTGAAAAACAAAAAAGAGAAAAAATAACTAATTCTTAAAAGAGTCTATACTTATAATTTAGACATATTTGGACTACCAAGTTACAGTGTTTTCTGTCTTTTCTTTTGAGCCCCACTCAGAGTTTACCATTTTTATCTATGATTAAAATAGTCTGGTTTTATATCTGTCTTTTCTTTTGAGTCCCATAAGAAATCCTTGTTCATTTTCGTGGTATGTCCTAGAGAATACACCTTTGTAGGTAAGAGAAGAGAGAGGAATGTGTCCCTTCTTTTGAATTTCTCAATTTGCAGAATATTTGAAAATTCCTGACTAACAATTTTGTTTCTTAGTCCAATGCCTTCATTTTTATCTTTTTTCTATGACAAAATTGCAGTTCAGAAGAACTGACTTGCCCAGAGTCACACATCACTTAGCTGCAGAGCCTGGCTTTGGAACAGTCTCCCATACCCAAGTGCAAAGAGCCTACACTCTCTTGGGGGAGTGTCTAGACACAAATCCTTCAAGAATTTTCTATATCATGGGTCCAGTAACCTTCCCAGCAAGACTGGGAAGAGTAAGCAAAGTTTTTACAATTTGTCCTAAACCTGAACTATTCTCAGTTCCTATAATATGCCTATGAGCCGCCACCATTGATCCTCATCTGGAAATAATGGGTTTATGTTTGTATTCTGTTTCTCTCTAGATTGTGTGCTCAGGGTTTGGATTGTGTCCTTTTAATCTCTGTACTCAAGTAACCTCATCACCCAATACTGTAATAGAATAGATCAGCAAGCATTGACCTATTTGTTTATTTGATTTACTGGGTAAAAGAAAACAGGCTGAGGAATGCAGTGACTCATGCCTGTAATCCCAGCACTTTGGGATGCCAAGGCAGGAGGATCACCTGAGGTCAGGAGTTCGAGAGCAGCCTGGCCAACATGGTAAAACCCCATCTCTACCAAGAAAAAAAAAATTAGCAGGGTGTGGGGGCCAGCACCTGTAATGTAATCCCAGCTAGTCAGGAGGCTGAAGTAGGAGAATTGCTTGAACCCTGGAGGTGAAGATTGCAGTGAGCTGAGATTGTGCCACTGCACCCCAACCTGGGCAACAGAGCAAGACTCCATCTCAAAAAAAGCAAGTGACAGCAACAACAACAACAACAAAAACTGCTGAAAATAAGCATTTTAAGTTATAATTGTCATTAATAACTTCACTTTTTGAAAGCATTTAATCAATCCAATTAAAAAATAAGGCAACATGGACAGATAGAAAATACTGGGTTAAGAGGTAGGAATGCATATTCTGGCCCAGCTTTTCCACAAACTAGCCACTAACCTTCTCTTGGTCTTAATTTCCTCTACCTATAGAAAGCTGTGTTAAATTACTCTTCTAAGGTCCATTAGAATTCCAAAACATTTTTTTGAGGCTAACTGGCACATGTATCCCATTTTAGATGAAGGAATTACAATCCCCCAAATAACCTTGGATAAAATTTAGGCACATATAACATGTCTCACTGAGGATTTGCAGTTCAGCAACTACCTAATCCTACATGATCTGTCTTTTGACAATACAAAAGTCCTCTTCTCATCAAAAACTTTATAAGCCTCAGGCTATGTGTTAGATTAAAACAGTCTTTCTGGTGGACATAGTATTTATAAAAATATTGCCATCCAACTTGTACAATATCAGCTAGAGAGGAGGATGCTGAGTAGAGAATATTATTGATGACTTTCTCCCCATTTATTTTCCACATGACGGAGTCATACACTCTAAAATTTCCAATAGAAAAATTAAAAAGGCTTCTGTCATGATGGTTAGGATTTTCCCATGCTAGTGATTCCCCTAAATAACAGGGAAGTTTAATTAACCCCATGTCAACTATCTGCAGGGGATAGGAAGTTACTGTTCTTCTGTAAATGCCCCCAAGGTATTAAATGTTCAATTGGACATTCTGAAACTTTTATCCCAAGACCACTTGAAAGTACATGACTGTATAACCTTGTGTTTCTCTATAGGGATATCTAGATTCTCTATAACTTTTTCTTTCCTGGTCACTATGAACCTAAGAAATTGTCAGCATATTATGAATCATGCAGATGACCATCTTATCCTCTAATTGTTGGCACATACAGAATTAGTATGTGTTTGCTTTTGAGTTTATGGATTTCACTAAGTCAAGAACTTATCACCTAGGCTGGGCACAGTGGCTCACACCTGCAATCCTAACACTTTGGGAGGCTGGGACAGGAGGATCTCTTGAGGCAACATAGCAAGATCCTGTCCCTACAAAAAATAAAAAAACTAGCCAGGTGGGTAGCGCACACCTGTGGTCCTAGCTGCTAGGGAGGTTGAGGTGGGAGGTTTGCTTGAGCACAGGAGTTCAGGGCTGTAGGGAGTTACATCATGATATGTCATGGCAGCCTAAGTGACAGAGCAAGAACTTGTCTAAAACAAAAACAAAAACAAAACCAAAAACAAAAAACTTACCACCTAAATAACAGCTTTTACGTTTTCATATTATGCTTCTTAAGGTTCCTCTGAGTTTATGCTAATGAACTAGCTCATAGTTCATTGCATCCTCATGGATTATTAGAACTGACCTTGAAGATGATCTAGTTTAATATCCTCAATTTACAGAGGGTGAAATCGACACCCATACAAAGTGTTAAATTTCATTTAGAGGCAAAATTATAATCAGAACAAGATTTTCCATCATATAATCATTTGTCAGAATGTAGTCTCTCGAAACCAGAATTTTGAATTTGTCAGGGTTTTTGTTGTTTTCCTTTCCTGTTTGCTTAGATTTTTTTTCCCACCTTGAGAATGTGTAGTCCAAAATTCGTCATCATCAAAATGTGCATCCCCTCCAATGCCAGGTCCAGGTCCAAAAGCATGGGCTATGGTTCCACCTTTGCCATCAAAAGCATGGAAGTCTCCATGAGCTTTTGGAAAAGGAAAGAAAATTAGTCCATCTATATATCCTATAGATCATGCCAAATGACAAAGATGAAGTACAGGTTCCCTACCTCCACGTGCAAAAACCACCAAAATGTCAGCCACGCCTGTGTTAATTCTGCTGAATTTCAAGGGGGTAACATTACTCCATACTTGGAAAGCTTTCTGGATTGCGTAGTCAACATCCTTACGGTTCATGTCAGGTGTGTAATTATTGATTCTTTATCATCAAAGAGAGAGAGAAAAATGTATGGAAGGCAGTGTTAATTTTGTCTCACCACAATACTTCATTTTTGCTAGCACAACTGGAAGATGGATCATTTCATAAATCAGGAGTCCAGATTTTAAAACTTGCTTCATTAAGTACAGAAATATTTTTTTCTTGGACAGCTTCCTGCTTAACCAAAATCTAACTTAATTTCTTCTTATTTAAAACTCACAGATCATCACTGTGAAGGATTTGCTTTCATAGATGGTTATGCTTTTTGCTCCTGTTCCCAGGTTCTGCATTTATCCATCTTGACTACTCTATACACATCCCCTGTTTCTTATTTATAGTAAATTATCTTATTTATAGTAAATTTAGCTTCATTCTCCTTTTATTTGCAGAATTTTTTTTTTTTTTTTTTTTTTTGAGACGGAGTTTCGCTTTGTCACTTAGGCTGGAATGCAGTGGCACAATCTCGGCTCACTGCAAGCTCTGCCTCCTGGGTTCACACCATTCTCCTGCCTCAGCCTCCCGAGTAGCTGGGACTACAGGTGCACACCACCACGCCCGGCTAATTTTTTTGTGTTTTTAGTAAAGACGGGGTTTCACTGTGTTAGCCAGGATGGTCTCAATCTCCTGACCTTGTGATCCGCCCACCTCGGCCCCCCAAAGTGCTGGGACTACAGGTGTGAGCCACCACACCAGGCTTATTTGCAGCTTTTAAAATCTGCTTTGGACTGGCAAGCCAAACGATTTTCCCCCGAGCGAACAATTCTTCCTTCTAGAGAAAACGAATCTTAACAGAGATAGCATTAACAATTGAGGGAGGTACTTTATTTACTTCCAGATTTAGGGCTGTCTAATTGGTTCAGGTTAGAAGTCAGACCTGTGGGAAAGTAGAAAAATACAGGGCGACATACACCAACATTACCTGTAGGTGATATAATGTTTCCTCCATAACTGCCCCCTTGACATTGCACTGAAATGATGGACGTCGGGGACTCCACATCGAGGTGCGTGCATCATCTCCAGAGTAGATGTGTCCAGTTGCCCAGTCACTTTTAGCCCTAAGAAGTGCTGCATTTCCTGGATTTTTTCCTTCATTAAGTTTCCACTGTATTTCATTTTTGTCACTTGAAATTTGTTCATCTCAAGGCCATAAAATCTTTCTAAGTATCTCTGGAAAAAAAATACATTCAGCAATGCATAATTATGCACAGAAAAGTTTCTGTTGGGAGCTCCACATATATGACTCAACAGCACACTGATGCTTTTGGACCAGGAATTTTGCACATCTTACTCACAGGTTACATTATTGTTGTTTGGACAATTAATTATAATGAGGAAAAAAAATCTTAATTTTTTGTACTATCGCAGACATGTCAGCCAGGAGCAGTAGCTCAGGTCTGTAATTGCAGCATTTTGGGAGGCTGAGGCAGGAGGGTTACTTGAGCCCAGGGGTTCAAGACTAGCCTGGACAACATGGCAAAACCTCCTCTGTACAAAAAATACAAAAATTATCCCAGAGCATTGGCGCATGCCTGTAATCCCAGCTACTCAGGAGGCTGAGGTGAGAGGATCACTTGAGCTTGGGAGGTAGAAGCTGCGATGAGCCCTGATTGTACCACCGCACTCCAGCCTGGATGACAGACACAGACCCTGTCTCAAAAAAAAAAAAGAAAACAAACAAACAAACAATCTTGGCTCACTGCAAGCTCTGCCTCCTGGGTTCACACCATTCTCCTGCCTCAGCCTCCCGAGTAGCTGGGACTACAGGTCATAAACTACTAGCTGGATTTATTCCCGGAATCCCAGTGGAAATATCTTTTTTAAAATGTCATTTATTCATTTGTAAGAGACAGGAGTCTCTCTTGGTCACCCAGGCTGGCCACAGTGGTGCATACCTGTAATCCCAGCACTTTGAGAGGCCAGGGTGGAAGGATAGCTTGAGCCCCAGAGTTTGAGACCAGCCTGGGCAACAGGGTGAAACCCTGTCTCTACTAAAAATACAAAAATTAGCCAGGAGTGGTGGCACATGCCTGTAGTCCCAGCTACTTGGGAAGACGAGGCAGTAAGATCACCTGAGCCCAGGAGATGGAGGTTGCAGTGAGCCAAGATCGTGCCGCTGCACTGTAGCCTGCGTGTCAGAGTAAAACCCTATCTCAAAAAAAAAGAAAAAAAAAAGAAAGAAAGAAAAGAAAAGGAAAAAAAGGATACATGAATTATTAGCGTTATTAATATAAGTTGGGACGCAAATTTCTTGCTTAAAAACTCAAAGCTAAACAAAATGGACAACTATGATAAATTCAATGTATCTATGATACATGATAAAATCATGTATGATTTTATATACATGTAGATAAAAGGTAACTATGATAAAATCATCTTTAAAAATAGGGACCAAACTCTTTTAATTAAGGAAAAGAAATTAAGAATTGAAAAAAAAAATCCATAAAAAAATGCTATAAAGATGGGCCCAGCATGGTGGCTCACACCTGTAATCCTATCACTTTGGGAGGCTGAGGTGGGGGATTGCTTGAGCCCAGAAGTTACAGACCAGGCTGGGCAACATAGTGGAACCCCATCACCATAAAAAAGAGAAAAAAAGCTATAAAAATGTATCTGAGATGACTGAGGGTAAAGGGAATATGCTTAAATTATCATGGCAGCCTGGAGTGGTTATATTAATCCAGCCATTGTTCAGATCTCAGATTATTAACTGATATTTAATGATTAGTGTAAAATACCATAACAGAAGTGAACGCCAATTATATTGAATGGAAATTTCTTGGCCAAAGGTTTTTAGAAGAAGAAACACGTTCACTTGCCCATTTCATAACACTCCTTCAAAACCAATACCTCTTTTGTATATTCCTCTTTGGCAAGAAAAACTTAATACTGAAAGCAGACAGCCTCCTAGACCAATTTTCAGCTGATACTTAAATGCAAACAAACAAACAAACAAACAAACTGGTTAATGCAGTAAATCTTAAAGACAAACATCAAGCTAGATAAATACTGTAGAGTCCATACTTACTTCACCAAATAGCACATTATTTTTTTCCAGGCTTGTAGAGCTGTTCAGGGGAAGAGCTCCAGAAGCAGTGGCCTGCAGGAGCAGTAATAGAAGAAACTTCATTGTAAACTTCTAAGTGGATCAACTCAGCTTATTCTGTTCCTTTCTAGTCTAAGTTCCTGAACCGTTCCTCTTTATATAGCCCTTAGTCCAAGCTCTGTGAATATGAATCTCATGAATGACTCATAGTTGATATCATCCCTTGATTTACCTCAAAAACATGCAAACAAAAGCGTGACCTTATTCCGACGACAATGGATCAATTAGCATCTAGTCCATCACTCAAGCAATTCAGAGTATGTACCTTCAAAATGATAAAGAAGCCCCTCCTTCCACCTATCCTACGAAATAAGCCTTTGTAAAAGAAATATCAAGCAACTAAAAGAGAAAGAGAACTTAAAATATATTTTCTTAAAGCCTGATATTCTCAATTTTCATTATAATACTTTCCTTATATTCATTATAGATAAAAAAAAGTTTTAAAGTAAATGTTGAAAGATTAGGTAAAATCCTTTTGCTGGAGGAAATGAATGCTTTTTAAACTGGATCTAGCTCCCTAGAGAAATGCGATACAGACATTTTATATGTAGCAAAAAAAAAAAAAAGTTTGTAATATCGTGATACTTTGTTGTTTATTCCACGTGTTGTACCGGCTCAGATCGTGATTCTATAACTTAACATCTTCAGACATCTAAGCTGAAGCTCAGTCCCAACTGGGTACCTGGATAGATTCCAGAGGCAAACTTTCCTTACATCCTAGATTGTCTAGTGTTGGTAGGATGTGGGTTAACTCTTTTCAACTTTAGCAGTTGGGAAAAGTTTGCCTCTGGAATCTATCTGCCTGTCACCTCAGCTTCTTTCCCTCTTGACCTAATTGTCCCATTGCACAGAATCTGTCTCTTACGCAGTAGAGAATATTTAAGCACGAAAAACTTTTACGAGTCAGGGAATAAAATTCCAAAGGTAGAATTGCAAGCAGTGGTGCTGCAGTGTGAGGATAGATTCTACTCAACACCTCTTCAAATCACATGACAAGTTCCCTGCCTCCTGATTGTATGGGGACAGTCTGGACGGTGGGGTAGGGGGCACATAAGAGTGTGTTAAGATTTAGCCATTGCTCTGACCCACCTCGGTGGCCTGAGAAACAATCTGCTGGCTGCTTGAGTGAGGCTTAAAGAAAAGGAGAAAAATATGGAAAAAAATAATTTTCCAATTTAAAAATTATCTTGCCTCACTCTTGCAGAGAACTATGCAGATTCTTTCTGACCTGTTCTCTCTCTAGTCATTGATTTGTTTTCTCTGAATCTATCTAACCTGCAAATACAGCTGGTCATTCTGCTGTGAGAATGTCACTTTTTAATGACACAAAGTTTAACAGACTTGCCTTCTATGCTCTAAACAGTATCTCTAAATCCAGATCACTTGGTTTTATAAATGTTTTCCAGAAAATTGTTATCAATCCTCTAGCGAGATGCCACATCAGACCAGGTGACACTGGTGTCATGGGTCACTTACTGATCTGGTAGTGTAGAGTACAGGCTACTCCATTAAGATGTCCATTCTCAATGGGGAAGATATCACTCCCAACTGGGTGAAAAATTGCTCATCAAGGGCAAAAAATATATATTTGTGTATATAAAAGACAGATATGCATACAGCACATGAGCAGATATACGGTTTATCTCTGCTATTAAATTTTTATGGGGGAAATCTCTAAAATGTCTACAAAACCTCTTTCTCAGGAGTAGTGATAAATGTTGAGAAACCCTGATCTACGTATTACAAAGGAAAGAGAACTAACATTTATGGAGAGGCTTTAACAGTTGCCAGCAGTTTCATGCACCATCTTATTTAATCCTCACAATAATCATTTATGGATGAGGAAACTGAACTCAAATAACTTACCCAAAGCCACACAACTAGTAGGTGGCATAGCTGAGGTTTGAGGCCAAGTCTGTTTCCAAAGCCTTTCTGTTTCCCTTAAACCAGGCTGCAAAGTCAAAGTCAGTTCAGAGATGGCTTGAGTCATTCTCTCTGCCCCCAGATATTTACTTTGTTGTTGGAGAGTAAGAACAGGAAAATAAGCAAATCACTAGCAGTACATATGTATATGTCATCACATTGTCTTTACCTTATGATGTACACATAGGACAAGTTAATTTGTCTATGTCAACACAATTGGCTAAGATGGTTCCAAACATTATGCTCCTCAGAGGTGCTCTGGGCCAATCCCTGGGGAGCCCTAGCAGCTGAAGGCACCTTAGCAGCAGGGCACAGCTCAGGCCATGATAGGGGAGGAGATGGCAGAAGTTCTCTGGCATCCTCCAGAGAACAGATGAGAACTGCTACCACCCTGGGGAACCCAGATCCACCTACAATATTCCTAGGACTGTCTGCTTACTCCTGGCACCTGCAAGAGCAAAGGCGATAGCATGGCTTTAACTAAAAAGCAAGAAAGTATGTATCACGGTATTATTTTTGTAGTGTTTGCAGTAATAAGATACTCATAGAACTTGGAGGGGTGGCTTACACCTGTAGTCCCAGCTACTCAGGAGGCTGAGGTGGGAGGATCCCTTGGGCCTGGAGTTTGAGGCCAACCTGGGCAACATAGCAAGACCCTGTCTTAAAAATGAAAGATATTCATAAGAAGACCCAAATTTGAAAAAAAATCAAAATGACAAAATGAAATGTGTTGTAGCAACAAGTTAGGACAGGGTCAGGAGACCTTCCAGATGTCTCCTTAAGCAATTCACTTCCCTTTTCTGAATTTCCATTTCTTCATCCATAAAAGGAAAAGGTGAACTAGCCGAAGTTTTCTTCCTCCATGGACAGACTCTTGGCGTGTGAAAGGGATTTCTTTGTACATCTTGGAAGAATTCTTCCCTTCTGGTCCTTGCTGATGACATACTTAGATTTGCCTCTGGATTCCTGGGGATGACACCACAAATGACTTCAGGTGATTGTATCAGGGATATACCCTGGAATGTCCTGGTGTCTGGCTAAAGAAGGAAAAACATAACAGATGCTTTTGGATGGTTGGTGCTACAAAATCTGCGTTATGATAAGGAAATTGCTCTCAGCACTTTCTCACGAGAAACTCTGAAGTCACCTACTTTCTGCGCTTTCATAAACGTGCTCTTCTTCACACAGAGCATGGACAATGACCTTTGATTCTTCCTTTCCTCAGTGTGGCCCCTAGAAGCTATGTCTCTGCTGGGAACCCCAGCTTCCAGTCTGGGCCTATGTCAGAATCATTTAATAGCTCCGTTCTACCCAGGAGAGAGATCTGGGCAGACGGGTTATCTCCCTTCTCATCTCCTTTACCAACCTCTTTTAGAGGCTTACCTAAGAGTGCAGTAAAGGAAGATGGCAATCATTGAGTCCTCAAAGTGTGTCAGGCCGTAGACTAAATACTTTTCCCTAGTATTTAATGGAATCATTGTAACAACTCTTTTCCAGTAGTTACCATTGTTATTCCAGTTTTACAAATGAAGAAATTAAGTGTTAAAGAGCTTGAAGTGATTGTCCAAGGTCATAAAGATTCCAAGGCAAGTCATCTTGAGCATAGCTTTATCAAGCAAGTCACTTGAGCATAGCTCTGTCAAATGGAAGTGGAATTCTTTTCTGCCCAGAGTGGTCATCTTGACTCCACGACCTTAGTTTGTAACCACCTCAGTGTTCCATGGCTGCCCAAGGGGCCTTGATCTCCTCATACTTGACCTATCTGGGTCACTTGGTGAGTCAAGACCTAGAGAGAATCAAAATTTGAGTGTAATATCCTATTTGTATTTCCAATGAGTACATTCTTTCACTTCTTTGTATATTTAGCAGCTTTTTTCTGTATCTTACATCCTACTCTCTCAAGAGACTTCCCACCAATCTTCCAAGAACAGTTTCCTTCCTGCTGTGGTTAAGGCCAGTTCTTGCTTTCAGTGAGTCTTAGGAACACATCCTCCCTGTAATGACTGTTCCACAAGGGAGGTTCACTCCTGATGTCCTTTGGGCCCTATTGTCCTGCTAGATTCATTCATGCATATTTACCGAGCACCTACTAACTTCAAGGTAGTTCTAGGCACCAGGAATACAGTGATGGAGAACCAGAGTCTCATCTGGCTGCAGACTTAGATGCACGATGTTCTCCTCTCGGGCTAAGGGGAAGAGAATAAATATTAGTGAGCAGCGATAGTATGTCCTAGTATTTATAATACATTGCCTCATTTAATCATCACTAAAGCATAAAAAGGCAAAGTTACTTATTTATTTTTTTAGAGATGAGGTCTCATTCTATTGCCGAGGCTGGAGTACAGTGGCACGATCACAGCTCACTACGACTCCTGGGCTCAAGTGATCCTCCCAACTTGGCCTCTAAGTAGCGGGAACTACAGGCATGCACCAGCACAGGCAAAGGTTATTATCCCCATTTTTTTTTTTTAAAGATGGAGTTTCCCTCTGTTGCCCAGGCTGGAGTACAGTGACGCGATCTCGGCTCACTGCAACGTCTGCCTCCCGGGTTCGAGCAATACTCCTGCCTCAGCCTCCTGAGTAGCTGGGATTATAGGCATATGCCACCACGCTCAGCTAACTTTTGTATTTTTAGTAGAGATGGGATTTCACCATGTTGACCAGGCTGGTCTTGAACTTCTGAGGTGATCCACTGGCCTTGGCCTCCCAATGCTGGCATTACAGGTGTGAGCCCCACACCCAGCCATTATCCTCATTTTCAGAGGAAACACCAGAGGGTCCTAGAGGTCAGATCACAGAAACTTAAAAAAGGTAGGGTTTGCAGGTGGATGCCAGGGACGATGCAGACGGCCTCTTTTTCTTTTACTTGAGAAGGGAATTATTCTCCTGGAGTCCCAGCCTCAGAGAAATGCTGGGGAGAAGCCACATTTCTTGCCCCGGCATTTATGACCCTGAGCACATTATTCACATTCTTACTTCTTTCCAAGAGCCTAAATCCACTAAAATGAATACAGTTTAAGAAGAGAGTAATTTTTCCTGAACTGAGTTAATACTGAGAGTGGTGGGAGAGTCCGTGGGTTCTGGTTGCCAGGAAGAACTGAGCCCCACTCCATAGCAGCACTGCAAGGATGTGGTGGGACCACAGAAGGAATCATCACAGGATGCTGCAGGGAAGTGAGATGCAGGGCCTGGTGCCTCTAAGTTCCCTGAAGCAAGCATGCCACAAAAGCAGCAGTGAGCAGAACTGAGAAGATATGCGGACTGGGTGGACCAATAGGGAGGAGATGGAACTCCAAAGGATTACGGCTGAATTTCCTTCCAGTCCAAAGGGACGGAGGCTCAGAATAGAAGTTAAATTTTAGGGAAATGGCTGGGCGTGGTGGCTTACTCTTGTAAT